GGGACCCCCACGGGAGCAGCGCCCCGGCGAGCCGGCCGGCCCCGCCCTACTTCCCCCAGTCCGCGGCGCACGCGCACGCGCGCCTTCTGGAGCAGCGCGCGCGCACGCGAGCTCCCCGCATCCCCGTGCTCATCCGGGCCTCAGCGAGCCTCAGCCAATGGAGGATGCTCACGGCCACCGGAGGCGGGGCTAAGCCTCCCCTCACGTGGGGCCTGTGATCCTCCGGGGGCGCTTCTAGGCAACCGGGACCAGTCGGCCGAGAAAAGAGACTAAGCTAGAGAGCCCAGCGTCGGGGCGGGGACCGACGGTTTTGAGATCGAACGGCTGCCGCCCCCGAGAAGCGACTGAAACGCAAGCTTATTCCCCAGCCCGAGCCGCTGTAGTAAACACACTTCAGAAACGTGAGGTGCCGGTGATCACGTGGGCCGAGCGCCTTCCAATGAGGAGCCGGGGGCGGGGTCGAGGCAGCTGACGCGGCGGTGGCGGCGGAGTCACCCGGGCCGGCTCGGGACCGGTCACCGGCCGGCAACCATCCAGCGGCCTCGACCACCGCCTGCGAGCTCCGTCCTCACTCCTGGGCCGAGAGGCGGCGTGGCCGACAGTGGCGGAATCCCTGCTCCTTCGTCTCGGTGGCTCGCCTCGGGCGGGCCGCTTTTCCTCAGGGGCCGCCTCGGTGGGGCGAGGTTTCCGTGACGAACCTCCTGGGGCTGCGGGTGCCGGCTCGGCCGTCGTGGCGGCTCGAGCTCCTGGAACTTGCTCACTCTCCGGGGCTCCGAGGCCCTCGAAGTTATGCGTGTCATCCGAGCGGCTGCAGCGAGCGCCGGCTCCTAAAGGGCGTCACACCCGGACTCCGCCGACTGGGCCACCTCCATTCAGCTTCCAGCTGCGCCTCCAGCGCCCTCTCCCTCTCGGGTCCGCTCGTCGGACTCCTTTTTCCCTTTTCTCCCCTCTGCCGCCCTGTCCTCACTCGTGGGGTGCGGCGATTCTCCTGGGAGCGGAGGTATCGGTTATGAGCCGGACCCTCCTCCCTTGAATTTCTCGGTGGAGGAACTGGGCGGTGACCCTCCGCCCGCCGCGGCCCGGGGATGGGGGTGAACGCGGTGCACTGGTTCCGAAAGGGGCTCCGGCTTCACGACAACCCCGCCCTGAAGGAGTGCATTCAGGGCGCGGACACCATCCGCTGCGTCTACATCCTCGACCCCTGGTTCGCGGGCTCCTCCAATGTGGGCATCAACAGGTGGCGGTGAGTCAAAGCCCCGGGGGAAATGGATTTCGGGGTCTCATGAGTCAGGACTCGACCATCAGCCCAACCGGAGAACTTCAACCTGGGACCGCCTTGCCCGTGCTGTGCTAAGAATTGTAGCAGCTTTGGGTATGAAATAGAGTGGACTGAACACCTCTCTGGCCAGAGAGTGCTGGCAGCCTGGAACCCCCTGGCCTCCTTGTGTGAATTTCGTGCCTCGGCCCTAAGGCGAACTCTTCGCCGGGTTCCTGGGGGATTCTTAGCGGCGGAGTTAAAACACCCTCCCGTTTCTCAGTGGCCCGTGGGTTGATTTCCTTGGCCTCTTTGTGGCGTTCGAAAGGACTGCGGTTTTAAATGTTTACGACCGTGTCCCGGTAATTCATAGTATGGAGAAAATTATTCATTCAGTTACTGTCGCCTCCAAACCCAGTTTTCTTCCACCCCTGGAGGCGAACGAAGGGAAAGCAAGGGAACTAACCTTATCTGGTTCATCTTTGCTCAGCTCCTCCTCGCGAGCGCCCCCTTGTGGTCGACTGGGCAAAGCGCAGTTTTTCTTTCTAGGTAAAGCATAATCCTTCTAGGGATCGGAGTAACGGAGGAAGGAAGTCCTAGAGAAGCTTGGTGATCTTTTCCTGAAATACCAGCCTAGATATTTGTTAGGCCCTCTGGTGGAAATGACAGTGTTCGACGAACAGATCGTTGATCACCTGTCTACCAGGCTTTGCTTTAAACACCAGGGAAATGGCAGCTAATAAAGCATGTCCTCTTTGAGCATGTGCTTCAGAAAGTAAGATATGTAGTATTTGGTGGCGATAACTGTTGTGGAGAAATACAGAGCAGAGAAGGGGATAAAGAATATAAAGACGTTGGGATTAGAGGTGCAGTTTTAAATGCGGTGATTGGGGAAAACTCAGAAGGTGGCAAGTGAGCAAGGCAATGAAGCAAATATAGATTGTGGCCATCTAGGGGAGAAGCATTCCAGGCAGTGGGAACGTCAGGAAAAAGGCCCTGAGGTGGAAATGCCCTTAACCTTCGGAAAAAACAAGCAGAAGAAGCCAGTATGACTGAAGCAGAATAGGCGAGAGGAAAAGCAGTAGATGAGAGGTCAGAGAGGTAACGGGGCCATATTGAGTAGAGCTTTATAGGCAGTCGTCAAGATTTGGACTTTTACCCAAAGAGAAAAGTGGAAATAATTGCAGGATTATGCTCAGAGAAGTGACATGATCTGACTTAAATTTGAAAAAATTCCTGTGGCTGTGGTTCTGAGAACAGACTGAATTGGAGGAATGCTTTCAAAATATTTGTCTTGAGGAACTAGAAGGATGGAACTAGGCTAAGAAAGTGAAGTTAGACAGAGATGCCATTGGGATGGTGTTTGGAGTTCTCTTTTGAACTTGGTTAAGTTTGAGTTGTTTATTACACATCCAAGTGCAGATAGCAGATAGGCAGTTGGGAGCTCAGGGCAGAGATCCAGGCAGGAGGTATAAATTGGAGAGTCATCAGCTTATATATAATATTTAAAGCTATTTATTCATCCACCCATTCATTGAACATATATTTGTCATGCAGTTAATGTATGCCAGGCACTGTTTTAGGTGCAGGGCATTTAGTATAAATAAATAGCTAAAAAAAATCCCTACCCTGTTGAAGCTACATTCTAGCGAAGCCATAAAACTATATAAGAACTTTAAGAAAGTAAGTAGAGATAGAAAAGGGAGGAGAATAATATTAAATGTCAACTGTAATTAAAAAATAAAATTATAAAAAAAGAGAGAGGAGGTCCATAGACTGAGCCTTGGGTACTCTAATGTGTAGATAATTGAGAAGGAACATCTAGTAAGATAAGAAAACCCAGAAGCGTATAGTGCCTGAGAAGCTAAGTAAAGAAAATATTTTAAAGAGAGTGTTTTATGTCAGGTGCTGTTGGTAGGTCAGGTGAGATGAAGACGAAAAATTTAAAATTGTATTTAGCATTTTGAGGCCATTCATAATCTTAGTGGTTTCAGTAGTGCAGAGGCAAAAGCCTTTTTGGAGTGGCTGAAGAGAAGCTGACAGGAGAAAGGTGGGAGACAGCGCACATAGACTGCTCTTTTAGGGAGTTTGCTGTAAGGGGATCAGAGAAGTGTGGTTCCTAGAGTGGGATGTGAAGTCAAGAGAGGATTTTTTTTTAAGATGGGAGAAATTACAGCATGTTTGCATGTTGATGGGAATGATACTGCAACTGTATATAAAGCACTCATTAGCAGAATTAGTGTCATTAACATTGATTCTGGAAAAAGATGGTAAATGTAATATATTTTAATGTATTAATAATATCTTACAGTAATAGAGTAATATTTCTCTTTTCATAAGATCGTTAGGAGAATTAAATTACTTAACAAACATAAAATGCTTAAAATGTGAGCGGTAGTAGTGTTTGTCATTTGCTATTAAATTGGAAGCCCTAGGTAAATAGTATCAATTAAATATCTATAGTAAGTTTCTTCTAGAGCAGTTTATAAATTTATGCAATCTAGACTGTAAGCTTCTGCAGGAGAGGGGTTATATATTGTTTAACTTTGTACACCCAGCAACTCACATTGCCAAATAATGAATGAAATAAAACTGGTAAGCACAATAGGAGTAGTCCCATTAAAAAACTACTAAATATTGCCCTTTCTAAACGACAGGTAAAGATATAAATAATGAATAGAGATAGACTGTTTTCTTCTACTGAAGACTAAGTTATAAAAAGCCAGGGACAGAGTTTTATTTAGTCTGTTCTCATAGCACCGAATTCAGTGCTTTTCATAAAACAGTAGTTCAGTTATTATTTGTTGAATGAAATGACATCCACAAGTCAATAATTTTATATTTAAACAACTTTATATCTCTATTGACCACAGGATAATGTGCAGACTCCTTAGCTTGGCAATTTTTTTGAGGTATAAGTGACAAATACAAATTGTGTATACCACTTTACGGTGTACAACAAGTTGTGATATATGTATACATTGTGGAATTTATTCTTTATTATTTCACCTTTTCTTTATTCTCTTTTTAGGTTGCTTCCAATCAACATTTAAACATGCTTAAGTTCAAGCTTTATTAAAAAAAAAACACAACAGAGGAGCAAAACCTTGATATGTTCCTTTCCAGCAACTATGTTTCTTAGTTCCGTTATAGCCACATTTCATGAACAAAATGTCTAGTACAGGCTGATTTCTTTATCTTCTGCTCACCCTTAACTCCAAACTAGTGTCATTCCAGCCAGTACCTATTCCACCAAAACTGTTTTCATCCAAAGAGTTCTTTTAAACTTTTCATTCTTTTACTTCCTACTATGTTTGACACATTTGACCACACCTTCCTTTTTTTCCTTCTGCTTTGGTTAGAGGATCCTTCTATGTGTGTGTTTTTTTGCCAGAGCTATTAGTGTTCTTGACTTCTCTTTCTGTTCAACCCTTAAATGCCTCTGAGGTCTATGATCTCCACCTTCTTAATTTTATATCATTCCTAGGCAATCTCATCTCTCTTAGTAAATTCAGTTACCATCTATATACCCAGAATTCACAAATCAGTATCTTTATCCCATATCTCTCTCCTGATCCCCAAATATGTATCCACTATATATAGATTCCCTGCCTACTGAATGTATTATATTACCTTAAACTCATCTTGTTCAAGACAGAATTCATCTTTTCCCCTACCCCTCTCTCAGAAACAAACAAAAAAGCCCAAACTGAATCTTTCTGTGTTTTCTATAAATAGTACCACCATTGGCCCAGTTGCTCAAACAATTTAAAGATCAGATTGTTAATTATATGTTAATTTATTCAACAAATATTTGAGTCTCTACTGTGTACTAATCACTTTGCTAATTTCTGTGGTAAAATGGAAGTCAGCAGATAATTTCTCTATCCTTAGGGAGTTTAGAGTATAGAGAGAGACTTATTCAGAAATAAAATAATCACAAAAATACATTCTTCTATCTCCATTGCCACTTTAGCCCACACCACCATCCATTTTGCCTAGATTACTTGAGTAGTTTACAAATCATTATCCCCCCCTTACTCTTCTCTAATTTATCCTCTACACAGCAAGTGGAGTGATCTTTTAAAGTTGCAAATATGATCATGTCCTTTATTCTTTACAATCCTTCAGTGACATTTCCTTACCTACCCTTAGGTTAAAGTTCAAAAAGCCATAGAGCATGATTTAAAATCCCTGTGTAATCCAGTCGTCTGCTTCTTTTTCCAGCCTTGGAGGATTGCTTCACTGAGGCATTTGAGCTGAACCTTGAAGTATGAGGTCTTAATAAACAGAGAATAGAGGGAAGGGAATTCCAGACAGAGGGAAGAAAATTCCAGACTGAGGAAATAACATGAGGGAAGGCACAGTATTCCTATACTGGTGAGGAGGCTGGTGTGACTGAATCACATGGTGCGTTAAAGAGGAGTTGCTGCTTAGTACTCTTTTGGTTTAGCACTCTAGGTGGTTAACTCAAACAGGCTCATGGAAAGAGAGAGTTGATTGGCAAATGTAACTGAACAATCCAAGGGAAACTGGCTTCAGACATTGCTTGATGCTAGGGCCAAAAGACAGTCTCTAGGACCAAATTTCTCTCTTTGTGTCTCCAAACTTCACTTATACTGGATTGGCTTTTCTGACAGGCTGTCCTCTGGTGGTAAAATATAGCAATAACAGTAACAGTTAAAAAGCATAAGCCTCAGCCTCAGAAGTCTCAGCAAAGCTCTGTAGCATTTTAGTGGCTCTGTTTGGGGGAATTTATTTTCTTTTTTTTATTAATTCTCACCTGAGAATATGTTTTTCATTAATCCTAGAGAGAGAGGGCGAGAGAGAGAGAGAAGCATGGATGTGAGAGAGAAACATCGAATGGTTGCCTCCTGTACATGCCCCAACCAGGGATTGAACCCCCAACCTGAGTATGTGCCCTGACTGGGAATCGACCCTGAGACCCTTTGGTGCATGGGTGACACTCTAACCAACTGAACCACACA